GTTACACATGGAGTTTTTTTTATATTTATTTAACCTTTATTTATCTAGGTAAACTGTTTGAGAACCACTTCTCATTTACAAACATGACCTGGCATGAACTGAGTGCATCGTAACATACAAACCTACATATTCAGCCAGAGTAAAGTGATTGTAAATTTTAATCTATGCCCATGCAGCACTAAAATTAATCAGAGTTTACTCTATTAATTTCACAGCCCTATACAAACACAACAACAATACAGTGCAGTAAACTTTTTTTTTACAGGAAACTATCTTCCCTTCAAAATAAGAGCTTGGATTTTAAGGTTTTCCATGTAGTTGCTTCAATTGACCACTAGATGTCAGTCATTTAGTTGATTTGCGCTTTAACGGGCTGGTGCCCACCACTGGAGACAAACAATGCAAGAGTTTGCAGCGACCACTTTCTAACAGGATCATATAAGATATTTTATTGGACAATTACTGGAATTTGGGTTTACAGAAGCTAAATAAATTATTTACAAGTAGGTTCAAGCACATAGAAATAACAGAGGTTAACTGGTCGTTAGCGTTAGCATTGTTATCGCATTAATTACTTAAAATAGCACAAGTCACTGCCCACCCGGACAGAAACAAGTCGACAGACATTTAAAGCTTCTTCTTAATGTTTGACCCAACCTGAAACTAAATAATTGTAGCTTTGAGGCTTTTGAAAGCGTTCATCTGGCTCGTCGTATAAAATGAGGTCTGCAGCACCAGATAGTTCATGTAGATCGTCTCGACGCCGGTAAATCCTCCAGATTATATGACATCTTTTATTAAGACAATATGGATCAGAACCTAAATGTTTTCATGACCTGTTTYACYTGTTCCCCCATGTTTGTCTTGTATGTCTTCTTGAATGGGTGTTTCTTAACTGCCCCCTCCCCCMMTTCCCTGAATAAACAGCACCTTGTGAATTTATTTCTGTGAAAGGCACTATAAAAATAAAACTTTACTTACTTACTTACTTTTCATATTTTTTGGGATATCTCATCTGTCCCAGTCCATTCAGGGCTGACATTAGCGCACTCGCTGTGATTCATTTTGTCGTTTTGAACCGGAGCAAATCACTTCCCCCGGATTTATACTGCATGCGTCTCCGCTGCACTCCGCTGCGCTGCGCAGGTCGCAGCTGTGCGTTTCAAGTCCAGTTTAAAATGTAACGTGAACGTTCACACAAAAAGATCGGATTTTTTCAAAAAATCDSAACTGAGCATTAAGACCTGCAGTGTGAACGTAGCCTATGTTGAAACTGTCGCGCTGTCGTCTTTCTGAAACTTCTGATTTCAAAATAAAATCCACGTGTATCGTGTGTGTACACGTATGCTTCATGCTACGTTTCTATCTGCTTCCCAAACAGAACGATACATTCTGACAGCATTTGTGTAGAAATATGTCCGTATATTTATTAATATAGCTGCAATTTCGACATTATTCCGACTAATTATTCCGCCGAATAGTGTCTTATTTTGAAAATACGGATGTTGTGCTTGTTTCTTTTCCTGTTGGTGCGACGTAATATTTAAAAATTGACTCCGACACAGCTCCGGCTTCCGGCAAAAATAGGATCTGTTCTAATTTTGACGGATCGCYGTCCGCTCACCGCCGCCGTGCGCAGCCAGTGTAAACACACTCACTGATTATAATGGGTGTGTRTTTGCTGCRGAGGTCGGACYGGAGCGGAGCCGGAACGCATGTAGTGTAAATTGGGGGTTCCTGCCACCATCTGAATTTTGTGCGTCATCCTGTCATGTGACTGAAACCCATAGACTGTTCAACGAGGCTGTGAGGGTGTGCAGCCAAATATTGTTGAAACATTTTAGAGTRTTAAACAGGTAGGCTGATGCTTTAAACTTTTTGGAGGAAAAAAAGGTGGAAAAAGACTTTTTTTTTAGCTGAAAGGTTTCAGCATGTGTCCATGAAGCTTTTTTTCCCTCCTCCTTCTAAAAGAAACACACTGACAGGGTGCGAGGAAGTATTTTTTTCCAGCATGTGTAAAAAAAATGCACCCACTCAGTTGAATGTTGCTTACACAGCTCACATAAGCTTCAACTTTCCACTGTGATTGGAGCACAAAAGGGCGCCGGCAGCATTCAGTGTTTTGCTTCTGCAAATGGGTTTTTCTGTCTGACACCAACGTGTGTCACAGAAAGAACAGCAGACAGCACCAAAGCTGCTTCCCTTCATTAATTAGCCATCACGATGACCTTTTCTTGCCACATGATTGACGGCCTGAAAAGCAATAACTAATCTTTAAGCATTTTTTTTAAAACATTTTTAGCATGAAGCCCCCTGAGCAGCGGCACAAAAACAGAGGAAACTAGACATGGGTTTTTATGATGTAAAAACGTKTGCATTGCCACGTAGCATGTCATTGCAGCATGGCTTTGCCTGCAGCAGTGGACTTGCAGAATGAAATGGGACCAAGTTCAAATGTGTTTTCTAAACCAGCTTGTGCCTGTCACGTGAGCAGGTGTTTGTAATTAAGGTAATTGTGTGACAATATGAAGTTTGAAGAGATATTTTGTTGAAGTTGGTTCTGCTGGATTTTGAACCCTCATCTCCCACATGAAAGTCCATGACATAGACCATTAGACAGATGGAGCTGTGGCAGAGGGTGGTGCCGGGGTTTGATTTGTATGTGTGCAGAAAGAGGCCACATTGCCAATACAATTATTGACACTAAACTGCATAATATCACAACAATAGAGCAGCATTAAGACAATGATATAGTAAAACATCAAAATACAATCATATTAGTATTGTAAACACTGAACTATTGAGATTAAATACAAAAAACTATGGTGCAGTACCAAGTTGAGTACAGCTGGGGGCAGTATTGGACCATTACAAGGCCGCATTGACTCCCATTATAATTTATTAAACATTAATATTTCAAAAGCTATATGTTTTACAGGCACCAAAAGACATAGCCATCATTTGGCACAGGGGCTTTACAGATATAAATTACAATGGCAGCTCTAGGACAAAGTATGCAGGAGGAGAAGCATGGCAAAGTTGACATGACTTGGATGGGAAACGAATCACAATAGTGTGCATTGCATTGGCAATGCACACTGATGATGCTGAAGCCAGCTCTTTACCTTTGATCTCACATTTCTTTAAATATTTATTCATTTTTTAAAGATTTATGAGTTTAAACTGGTAAATACTCTCTAATTATTTAAGGTTGCTGACACGTTAGTGAAGCAGTGAGAAGACTGCAGCAGGGCTGCTGCAAGACTTACCTCAAAACTCGTTACAGGAGTCTGACAGCGGTGCTGAAAGTGGTGCAGAAATCTAAAATGGGACACTCAGTCTCTTAAAACAAAATATTCGTTATATTTTATAAACTACACGTAGATCAAAAATGACTTGAGAGACTACATTTATTTTTGCTATCCACACAAAAGTCACCACCCACCTACAAAAGAAAAAGGAAAATAATGATGTCGCCTGTTTTTATGTTTATTTGACTGAAGAGTTAACGAAACAACAAAATATCTTGTGAACCAGTGGACGCATTTCAATTAACACACATTTAATTAACCTCAAGATGTTTATATGTGACCGGCTGATTTCTAAAGTCAGTTTAAGTTAAGATAGGTTCCACAGCTATAGGTGATTTCTGCAACGAAAATAACTAATTCAGCCAGTTTACAGATGTGAAGCTGAAATTTGAAGGATAGGTTTTATGTATTCCTTCATGGAGTATTAGGCTTTTCATTTGTTTCATCGTTAGTCCCACATCGCTGTTGTTTAATAAGTTTACACTTGTGGGAAACAGAAACCTGTCGTACGCTTTGCTGTTCATCTTCACTCACAAATAAAAGTAAGACTTTACGGAAAACTTGGATCAAATCAAGCAAATCATTAAAAACAGCCCAGGAGCAGGGGTTTCAGTCAGCAGATGTTAATGTTTTAAAAGCAGAGATTTTTGTGTGTCTCTTTGCTTCTCGGCTTAAATGAGCAGGTTCTTCTTCCAGAGGGCTGTACCTGTCTTCTCCTTTCACAGTGAGTGCTGCACGGGGGCTGTCGCAGCATTAGACCTGTGCAGACACATGTGACAGCTTCCATCGTCAACAAAGTGCAGAACGGTAAAAATAGAAGCACCTGGATGGGCCTTTCTCTGCAGGTTCTTCTGATACCTTTATTCTTTGACTAATTCTGTCCTGCAGGCTGTGCCACAGCGAGAATTTATTCTGCTTTATGGGGGTTTACCTGACAAAAACCTGGCAGGCCAGGCACACAGGAAGAATCTGTAGCTTTTTTTTAAATGCAGAAGCACCTGCAATCACCACTTACCCCCCGACAGGTGTGGCAGTGCGGCGGCAGCGTGGAGGTCCTGCCCTGCTCCAGGATCGCCCACATCGAGCGCGCCCACAAACCCTACACGGAGAACCTGACGGCCCACGTGCGCCGCAACGCCCTGAGGGTGGCCGAGGTGTGGATGGACAACTACAAGAGTCACGTCTACATGGCCTGGAATGTCCCGCTGCAGGTGCAACACACTCGCTCCGGTGTGTGTGTGTGTGTGTGTGTGTGTGTGTGTGTGTGTGTGTGTGTGTG